CATTAGCTTTCGTGCTCCTCTGATGCTGCTTGGCCTGCTGTGTTCATCCAGCTCTACACCTTGTTATCTCAGATTCTCCAGCATCGGCAGTTCCTACTACCTCTATATAAAAGTTTATGTCTTTCCTTTATTCTGGAACCTCAGAGGTTTTCTTCCCACTGGTGTAACATCAATAAATATTTTGATACTGGGAGTGGACTCCATGTGTTGACTGATTTATTTAGTCATTCCGCCCCAACACTAGGCATCACAATTTAGGAAGGTTCTAAAGACTTTGGAGAGGGTGCAGAAAAGAATTACAGTGATAGTTCCAGAAGATGAGAGATTTCATTAATGAAGAAATGGCGTAGCTGCGACTATTCTTTTAAAATAAGAAACAATAAAAAGGAGATTTGATAAAGGTGTTTAAAATCATGAGGAGTCTGGTTTAAAGACTGTCTTTTGTTTATTTTTCTGTATTTTTAATTGTGGACTGAGGTAAGAAAACGACAAGGATTGCTGGAGTATTACTGAATGTTTTGAAAGCAATTAACCTTACAGTCATTGTAAACACTATTCACATAGTTACTAGTTCCACCAGGAGTTGAAGTGTACTTAGGGGTAAACTAGAGCCAAGGGTGTGTGTACAGAAGGATCGGTGGTTGGTATAAGTAGCTGACTAGCCAGTGGATTGGTGACCATAATCAATAGATAAGACTTCCTGCTTCCCAACAACAATGCGATTGATTTTCAGGTTGCTAAAATTTTGGCTTGAATTAAAAGTTTAAAAGTGTACATTTACATTGCTAGTGTAATTTATAGATCACTAACTAATGGAAAGGATGTGGAAGAACAAATCTACATGGAAATTACAGAGAGATGCCAACATTATAAGTAGTCCTAATGGGAGACTTCAATTACTGAAATCTGAACTGGGCTACTTGTATGGTTGTGGCAGCAAAGAGCAAACGTTCCTACATTCCATGCAGGAAAGCTTCCTAGAGCAGTATGCAGTCCAACAAGAAAGGATGCATTGGTTCTTGGGAATATTGTAGGCCGAGTTGATTGAATGTCAACATTTGGGAACATTTGGGAGACAGTGTTCATTGTATTGTAAGATTCAGGATGATGGTGGAAAATGGCATTCAACAATCCAGAGTGAGAAAAATGGCGCAAAGCAGATGTCAATGGGGCAAGGAGAGAGCTCAATAGCATTGACCTGAATGGGAAGTTGGCAAGAAAGTCATAAACAGAACAATAGGTCACCTTCAAAGAAGAGATGGTTCGAGTACAGCCAAGGTGTATTCACTCAAATTGAAAAAGTAGGGTAAAAAAATCCAGAGCTCCCGGGGTGGTAAAGGAGATAGAAATTAAGGCAAAAAAGAAAAGAATATGCTTATGACAAGTCTCAGGCAAAAAATGAATTTAAGAACCAAGAGGAATATTGAAGGTTTGGAGGAGAGGTGTAAAGCAAACAACAGAAGCAAAGAGGAATTACGAGAAAAAAACTGGTAGCCAATATAAAGAGTTGTGCTAAAGTCTTCCACGGCCATATAAATAGTAAAAGGGTGCTAAATGGAGGAGTAGGCCTTATTAGGAACAAAAATGGATGTATACATGGAGGCACATGGCTGATGTGTTAAATTAATAATTTGCATTGGTCTTTAATGAAGAAAGAGAGGTACTACCCAGTCCATGGTGACAGAGGAGAAAACTTAGTCACTGGAAAGGTCCAGAATTGACAGAGCAGAAGGGTTGGATAGACTGTTGCTACTTAAAGTTGACAAGACACCAGGACCAGATGAGATCCATCCAAGGATTTTGAATGGCAAAAGAGTGCAGGGACCCTAGACACAATATTTCAGTCTTCCCTAGGCTTGGGAAAGTGCCACAAGACTGGAAAATTGCAATCATTATAGCCTTCTTCACAAAAGGTTATAAGAATAAAACCAGCCGGTTTAACTTCAGTGATGGAGCAGCTTTGAAATGATTTAGGATAGAATTAGTAGTTACAAGGGAAAAGGTGGGTTTATTTGGAAGAGTTGGCATGGATTTCTAACAGGGAAATCATGTTCAGCTAACTTGCTGGAATTTTTGAAGTGATGTTAGAAAGGATCGATGCAGGGAATGCGGTTGATATAATGTACATAAACTTTTAGAAGGCATTTGATACTGTTCTATGCA